TTTGCCTTTTCACCAGAGGCTTTTCCACGCCCCTTGGACGCACCACCATTGTCGTCCATGCCGATGGCAACCACAGGGTAAAAGCCTCGGCTGAGGGCAAGTTCCCGCATCTTCTTCCTAGAGTGGGTGTCTGCATCCTCCATTGCAAGTGAAGCTTCATCAAGCTCTTGCGGAACGTCCTCATCAGCTTCACCCGTGTACTCCACCTCGTCAATGGTGTCGTCATAGTCAGGGTCAAAGCCATAGGCGTAGCCGTCATCCTCCTGGTAGTAGACATCGTCATGGCCATAGTCCTCAAAGTCCTCGTGCTCGGCATCCATGTAGTGAATCTCGCCTTTGAGGATGGAGTCCTTGGCGTTCGGCTTGCTGTTCCCGCCAAACATTCGGATCAAAGCGCTGGAGACCCGGTCGACTGACATGTCTCCATCGCACATCGCTTTGACCTGGTGGACGTGGGTCCACCGCGGCACTCCAGACCTTTGAAACAGATGCCAGCCCGCAAGAAGGGGTGGGATATCCACCTGGAGCTCCTTCAGCTTTCGAAGCATCGATTGATGCCTCACCAAGGAGGCCTGTAGTTCTTCACCTCGTTCTCGGGCAAACTTGTCGAAGAACTCTTGGCACCGCTCAGGAAGCTCTACTACTTCTTCATGTTGAAAGGGCCTGTCCAAGATGACCAGCAAGGGTTTGAAAGGATCATCGCTCAGCTCCATGTCACCGTAGTCCAATCCTGCAGTTGCATCCCAAGCCACATCTTGTAGTGGAGAAAGGACAAGATAGGCTCCTTCCAAAGCTACTCCTTGACCTCGTCTTCTACATTGTCTGCTAAACAGGTCAAGTCTCCTTCTGTAGGATCTGTATGTCGACCGGTTAACCCAACAGCTGATGGAGCTGCTTTGGCCAAGCCCGAGTCCAAACCACGATTGAACTCGCTTTGCCCTTGTACTCCATTTGCTGTGGCTCCACCATTCTGAAGGCCATTGTTCGCACCAGCAGATCCACCTGGTACTGCAGCTCCTCCAGGGTTGTTGGCACCGTCAGATGCTTGCCCACCAACCATCGTTGCCACCGAAGTCCAAGGCAAGGGTGATGAACAAGTTCAGCACAAAGTACCTGCGGCAGCCCAGATTGGGCTCCACTACCAATATCGATCTGGTAGTAGGGGTTCAGCAGGAGGATCCCTTACCCAAACTCAACCAGATCTCCCTCCAACACGCAAGAAGTTGCGGTAGGGTTCGTCAATCTTTTCCACCAAGTTGTCGCCAAGCGGTAAGTCCGCCAGCAGCCTTCAGCGGCTTCAAGGGCGCCCTAAGAGCCCAGGCAACGGGCAGTGAAAGGTTAAATAAAAGGGCACATGCATGTCCCATGTGCAACAGGATGCAATGTTAGCAGGCATCGACAAGATACATACATATACACACCCACACATACATACACACCCATACACATACATACACACACATACACATACATACACAGACAAATACAGACATACACAGACATATACAGACATACACAGACATACGCAGACATACACAGTCATACACAGACATACACAGACATACGCATACATACACAAACAAATACATACACATACACATACATATACATATACATATACACATACATATACATACATAAATACATAAATACATACATACATGCATACATACATACATACAGACATACATACATACATACATACATACATACATACATACATACATACATACATACATACATACATACACACATACATACATACATACATACATACATACATACATACATACACACACAAATACACACACACACACATACATACACATACACATACATACACGCATACATACACATACAAACACATACAAACACATACACACACATACACACACATACACACACACATACGCATACATACATACATACATACATACATACATACATACATACATGCATGCATGCATGCATACATGCATACATACACACATACATACATGCATGCATGCATGCATGCATACATACACACACATACACATACACATCTACAGATACATAGACACACATACACACACACACACACGCACATACACAGATATATATATATATATACACATACACCCATACACATTTTCACACACACACACATACATACATACATACATACGTACGTACGTATGTACGTACGTACATACATACATACATACATCTTACATCCATGCATGCATGCATACATACATACATGCATACATACATACATACATACATACATACATACATACATACACATACACACACACACATACACACACATACATGCACATACATACTCAGACATACAAAGACACACACACATACAGACATACAGACAGACATACGTACATACAGACGTACATACAGACGTACATGCAGGCGTACATACAGACGTGCATACAGGCATACACACACAAACACACACACATACACACATACATACACACTTGCTCAGAACAGTCATTGCGAATTCTGATTTGAAATGCGTCGGACGTGCAAAAAACACTCCAATTAAACCTGACACGAAGAATGAAAAGTAACTAATATATATATATATACAGGTATAATCACAGTAGACATTGACCGTATAAAACAACAGCGATAAGATATATGTCCCCCCCAGCTGCGGCTTATATGCGCCCAGGGGCGGGACTATATATATATATACATATATATATATAATGCAGGTACAGGTTCATGCGTCCATGAACCCATCCACCACATCTTCCGTAGCTTCGTTGGGCAACATAGGAAGATGGGCTGTTGCCCCCCTGCACAAAATCGAAGTTTTACACCTATACAGATGGCACACACACACACACACGCCCCACCGCAGCAGGGCAGATGAAATGAACATGAAAGTGAGATGACAATGAAAGTGAAATGAAATTTACTTAACCAGAACGCGAAAAGGGGAACGCAAAAGAAGAGGGACCGAGAGAACACCAACACAACACACCTGGCCCGGAACGGGCAAACCCTGGAAAGGCAAGAAAAAAGAAAGAAAAGCGGAGGCCGACGGACGACGGAACAAGACCAGCGGAGGGGGGGGAAGGACGGAAGCGCCTGAACCAACCTAACACGGCGAAAACCTACGCCTACCTTGGCACGCGAAGGACCAAACCTACCTGAAGAGGGGAGAACGCAAGAACACATGAGAAAAGGGACCCGTGGGGGATTAGTTGATGAAGATGCATCCACATGAACGTGCAGATTCCCCTTGTTAGGCTCTACGGCCCAGATTCGAGTCAACCCTATGGACGGCTTAAGTTGTCAACCCCTGAATTACGTGCACAATTGAACCTCACCAACGACCAAAAAAGAAAAAAGCACCATACCTGCAAGCATGTCCTTTTGCCTGATCATGTGAGCATGCCTGACATGTGGTCTATCTCTTGAGCAGCACTCAAAAAGGAAGTTGTTGTCGTGGCTTCCAGCTATGCAAAGGCTACAGGTGGCTGAGGAATCAAGAGGCCAGGCACAGCGGCACACTGTTCAACACTCATTCGACCGACGTGTGAGACACGAAAAATGGCCAGCTGTTGCACTTTACTTAAATGAATTACTAATTCAAAAGTGTAAATTCAGACATCAGGTCGTTGCTTCCACACTTTGCTTAGACAAGCATTCCCCGAAGGGTTCATGCCACCTTGACGAATCCAGCATGAATCACACACTTGCTCAGAACAGTCATTGCGAATTCTGATGTGACATGCATCGGACGTGCAAAAAACACTCCAATTAAACCTGACACGAAGAATGAAAAGTAACTTATATATATATATACAGGTATAATCACAGTAGACATTGACCGTATAAAACAACAGCGATAAGATATATGTTCCCCCCAGCTGCGGCTTATATGCGCCCAGGGGCGGGACATATATATATATATATATAATGCAGGTACAGGTTCATGCGTCCATGAACCCATCCACCAAATCTTCCGTAGCTTCGTTGGGCAACATAGGAAGATGGGCTGTTGCCCCCCTGCACAATATCGAAGTTTTACATCTATACAGATGGTACACACACACACACTTACACACATACATACATACATACATACATACATACATACATACATACATACATCCATCCATGCATGCATGCATGCATACATACACACATACATACACATACTCATACACATACACATACATACATACATACATACATACATACATACATACATACATACATACATACATACATACATACATACACACACACATACATACATACATACATACATACATACATACATACATACATACATACATACAAACATACAAACATACAGACCTACGTACAAAGATATATACATACATCCATACATACATTCATACATACACACATACATACATACATACATACATACATTTAGACATACATACGTACATTCAGACAGACAGACAGACGGACGGACGGACGGACGGACAGACAGACATACATACATACACACCTATGTGATTACAACAAAAATGAACATGACAATAATGATGATAAGTCGTGATAATACTATATTTTGAGTAATGGCAATACTGATCATGTGCGTATATCGCTAAAAAATACATGTGTCTATGTACATGTAAAAATCGCATATTTCCTGATTAGCCAACATGTAGGCTCGCTGGCACAGATTGTCATTTTAGTCTTGGAATTTCAGTCCTCCCACGATGTGAGGGTAATCAAGGACCCGACCCATACGTCTAAACACCCACACATGATAGACGCACTTGGTATCCTAGTGGAATAGGATGTTGATCCCGTTGGCAATACTTCAATACTGTAGGTGGCCGTCATTTTCCACACGGGGATCAGGATCAGAAGTTGAGAGGCTCTGTGGCAGATCAAATGGAGCATTACATAGTTTTGGGTCAACATCAGGTAGTCCAACATTTCTGGCCCCAAGGGTTTTAGATTTTGACCCATGCGAAAACCTTCGCACCGTCCGCCTGTGCCAGGTATCCCAGAACCTGGCCATGCGCCCTGATCTTGTGAAAGACGACTTCATTCGCAACAAGCTGAAGGAGCGCTGGTGCGCTGATTCGCCGTTTGACACAGCGTTGGTTTGACCAGCTGGAACACCGTGGGTCCTTCCAGGAAGACTTGGAAGGTATCCCCAAGAGGCTGACACCAGCCGCTGTTTGGGAGACTTCTCTGGAGGCTGAAGGTAAGAGGCATTCTTAGGACAAGAAGGTCAAAGTTTCGCGTGTTTTTTGAGTTTCTTGGTGGGGTGAAAGATTGAGCAATTGAAGAATTGTTTGTCAGATCCGTTCGAACTGGTCAAAGGGACAATCTAGGGGAAACCCAGATTTCATGGTAAAACACAAGTTTTCCTGCATAGTTTTTGTCGAATAAACTACTCATTGCTCTGATAAGGCTGGGCACAGTTCCGACATTGAAAACGTTGTGTGCACGGCAGGAGACGCAGAATGCAAACCCTTCCAGAGACATGAAAGGAACGATGCAATATTTGTACCTCGGTCATGTGTTTTATCGACAGGACTGAAGGAACATCCACTTGCGGAATTTGCAGAGAATAGAAGTAGTAGAAGTCGCCCGTTGATGAGGGACATGTAGAAAAAACAAACCCAATCAATTTGTACCACCAGTTAAACACTTGAACATGTGTGATGATTCTTGACTGTCGCACCGGTCACACAATCATCTCCGTTCCAAGGTCACTGCACGATCCGCTTGTATTCCTTCCGGGTATCCGCAAAAAGGTCCGTCTGATGGAACTGTTGGAATACGAGAAGGCGCCGGATCTCGGATCTCCATTTTTTCCTGTGAGGACAGGCTGGTGAATCATCCCGGGTTCTTCGGACCAAATGTTTGGTCCCCAAAAGTCCCAATCCATGACTTTCTGTGAATTGGAGGGATAACAATACTTGTCGGAACTGGCAAACTTTCTTTTAATCACGAAAGCTAGCTGTGCTAGCTGAAGTTGCTCTTGCTTTAGCAAAGAATAGGCAGGCACCCGGACCGTTGGAAGCCCTGAAACTTTCGAGTTCGACCCCCCCGGTGGCAGGGAATAATTGATATAATGCGATTGTGGTCCTTGAAGGTATATTGCAAACAACATGAAACGTCCTATGCCTTGATCATTCCAACACAACAAAGATTTACAGCACACATGTTGTATAAAATAAGTTTGAGCAAGAACTTGTGAACGCAGGCTGCAATCTTAACTATGTGTTTTGGGCTACCTGTATGGGTTTCTTACTCCCGTGAAAGGGTTGCATGATTTTGCTTCCATCTCCAGGCTTGCGTTCCTGGGCGCTGCTTTTCTCCCAGTACACTCTCCTAGGATGCTGTGGGTGGTCAGGGCCGCGTGTGATTCTACACTTGTCTCCCACTTGCGTCTCACTGTCTCCAAGTAACAAGTACACTATGGATGCTCCGGGCTGCATGGTTCCACGCTTTTCTCGCCCACTTCTGCCACTTCTCTCCACCTGTCTCGCAGTGTGCTGTGGGTGCTTTGGGCCGCATGATTCTGCTTGTCTCCGACTTTTCTCCGACTTGTTTGCCATTCCTTGGAAGCGCTGGGTCGCATGGTGCTACAGCTGTTTCCAATTTATCTCCCAGTATGCTATAGGTGCTCTGGGCCACATGAACCTACACTTCTCTCTCATATACGCTCAAGGCTTGAATCTAAACTTGCTTCCCTTGTCTCCCACTTGTCCCCCCCACTGCCTCTAAGTACGCCGTGGATGCTCTGGGCCGCATAATTCTGCACTTGTATCGCACTTGTCTGTGGATGCTTTGGGCCGCATGATTCTGCGCTTGTACCCCGCTTGTCTCCCACTTGTTTCTGACTGTGGGTGCTCTGGGCCACATGATGCTGCACTTGTCTTCCCCTTCTCTCCCACACTTGTCTCTAGGTTGCCCACCGTTTGACTCCCACTGTCTCGAAGTACGCTGTGGGTGCTCTGGGCCGCATGAGTCTACACTTGTCTCCTCTGCAGTGGGCGCTTTGAGCAAATCTCCATCTCCCGGGCTCTGCGCTGGATCAACTGTCTCCAAGTTGGCTGCCTGGTTCTCCGCTTTCGTAGAAAGGTGTGGATGCCTTCGACCTCCTGATTCTAGACTTATCTCCCACACGTGGAAGGGTCTTCTCTCAATTCCCCTTCTTCCCTTTTATATGTCAATTTCGTGCCTTGTGCCAATTGCTGCTGCTGCTGCATTGGGTGGGCTGGTTCTTCAAGAGAGGTTGGGCAAGGTTCTCTCAGCTATTGTCTTGCCATGGGCATTCTTCTTCTTTTCGTTGCCTGTGCTTGCTGCAGTGGGCAGGGAGCCTTTGAAGGACAACGGTGGGTTGTTTCTGTCTCCACTGGCAGCCATCACATTCTAATTGATGCATCGCCTCCAAGTAGATTTGGCACTAGCATTTACTGTAGAAAGGCCTATCTCTTGCATTAGCGAATATGTTCAGAGGGTACTCGACCAAATCATGCAGAACAAATTGTGAATGCTTTTTTTTGGTGGTAAGAATTTCAGCGATCAGATTCCAATCCCCTGTTTTGCTTGGTTTGCACGGTGAAGGACGCCTGATCTCATGCGCACGCAAGGAAAAATTCGAGCATGTAGCAATTTCGCGCCTGCCAGGCAGGTGAGGGTCTCTAGATTTTAACAAAACGGTGCTACTTTTCCGCCTACTCAAATGAAAAATGCACGGACCCGGAGACTATATATATATAGCTCCAGCTGTCTGGCGCGCACGCGCCCGAACACTCTTGCGAGCACAGCGCAGGCTGGACACGTGCGGATCCGAACCCTATCTCGAGCTCCGGGTCACGCTGGGCACGTATGGACCCGAACATCCACCAGAAAGAAGGCCAGAATAGATGCCAAGTAGAATGCCTGAGTTTAAATGCCAAAAAGACTGTCAGACAACATGTCAGAATATATGTCAGATAGAATGCCAGAAAGAATGTCTGATGTCAGATAAAAAATCCGAATATAGGAGAGACAGAATGCCAGAAACAATGTCAGATAGAACGTCCTAGTATTTACAACAGAGATTGCCAAATAGAATGTGAAAGTAAATGTCAGACAGAATGCCAGAAAGAATGTCCGATAAAATGACAGAATGTATATATATATATGTGTGTGTCACATAGAATGAATGTCAGATAGAATGTCAAATAGAATTTCATGGTTCATGCCAGAAAGAAAGTCAAATAGAGCGTCAGAATATATAAATATATCTGCCATATATAATTCCAGATGATATGCCAGAAACTGTGTCACAATAGCTAGTCGGGTGGCATCATTCGAAGTCGAAATGGTTCATGTACTTCCCTTCGTTTCACAAAAGGTTGTCGAAACAAAACACTACATACATAATATATATATATATATAGATGATGATGATGATGATGATGATGATGGTGATGATGATGATGATGACGATGACGATGACGATGACGATGATGATGATGATGATGATGACAATATGCCGGTGATTGTTGGCTGACGAGAGTCTATAGTCTATGCAACACATGTTTGATCAGTTTTCTTACCCTGGATTGCATCATGATTACACCAAAGGGCATCCAATGACAGGACTGTGAGGTTTGTTGGCTTAGAAGATCTATCTCGCCCGCCATGCAATGGGATTCCACCTCCACATGGTCCTAATGTCGGCTAGGACCTAAAATTTGAGATCGTGGAAATTGAACGGTTCTACGCACCCCAAAAAAATGCAATTTTCCATCCCAAAGATGCAACGCAGACCAGTCTTCCATAAGGTCCCAATACCCATAAGGACATACAGTTTCTTAGGCCCTAGTGAAGAAAATGTTTTACACACCAACAACGCAGATTCAAGAGTGCAAGACAACCCCTTCTTTTCAGCCCAGATGGTCCAATATCCAATTAAAATTTTCATATACTTTCTAGGCCCAAATGGAAAATGAATAGTTTTACATGTGACAAATGTCTGTCTTCGACCCAACGATGACCAATCCAAGAAACAACAATGTTTTCTTAAAATTGTGAGGTCTTCCGTTTACCACGCACAACTGGCGCTCGCATTTTTTCGTAATATCTTGCAGTTGTGTGGACGTTTTTTGTTCACCCGGTACAAATTGTGTTTGTGCCTGCAAAAAAATGTAAGATCGGAATGATTGAAACCACATTTTGGTACGAACTCGCCAAAACTCGCAAAATTGAAACACATGAGAAGAAATGACAAGTTATGGAAAAATGAGGAAATGAAAAATTATGGGAACATGATGAAACAATACTATCTTTAATGAGACAACCGAAACGATATGAACAAAAAATTACAAGCAGAGAAAATAAAACCATAGTTTGTTTTATTGTGTTTCTTGTGTTTCCCGAGGGTCACAACCCCTTGGATCACACAGTGAAGACTGTACGATGTAGAAAATGGCTGTAAAACAAGTATTCGCGAGAGCGTGTCCCAAAACACCAATGCCAGACATTTATTTTTTGGCGCAATTATTATTTTTTGTTTTGTTTTTCAGTTTGGCGCACTTTTCCTTGTTATTTGCTCTTTTGGAACTAAAATATGTAATTTGCTCCATTTTGGACCTAAAATCTCGCATTCGCACGCTATTCGCAGCATTTTGGAGCAAAAAAATCGTTTTTAGACGGTACTTGCAGCATTTTGGACCTTGGACGTCTTCTTGTCTGAAAAAAACGCAGCATCTTGGAGCCAGCATTTGCACGCTATTGTTTGCATCATGTTTACAATAATTTGAAATCTCATATTCGCATGGTATTAGTTTCATTTTGGTGCAACAATATGGAATTTGCATGGTATTGCTACAAAATGAAAGCTGTTCTAACTGTTATCTAATTGTTTTCTACCTTGATGATAGCACAACAGCAGCAACATATTGGCACTTTTTAGGATTTCTTTAGGGCTGGTTTCGTGCTTAGTTGGGGTGGGTTTTGGGTTTAAGGGTTGGTTTAGACTCTATTTGGTGATGGTTTGAGGCTTATTGCAGGTTGGTATAAAAATCATTGAAGGGTTGGTTTGGGTTTTATTTAGGGTCTGTTTAGGGTTTATTAAGGATTGGTTTGGGAGTTTTGGGGTTTATTTAGGGTTGGTTTAGAGTCTACTTGGGTTAGTCTAGGATTTATTTAGGGTTGGCTTAGGGTCTATTTTAAGTTTGTTTAGGGGGTTGTTTAAGAATTAAGAATAGAATGTGTGCATATAAATACCTATAAGTCTATATCTATATGATTATGTATCTACAAGTGTGCAGGCTTGGTTTCAATTAATAAACGTGGCAAGGAATGACAATGCCTATTCTCACACGCAGTCCTGGTAGGTTGAGTATTTGAATATTAATATCATATAACATATATATCTATATGTGATATATATATATAAATATATATATACATATATATATATATACATATATATACATATATATATACATATATATATACATATATATATCTATATGTGATACATATATATATATATATCTATCTATATGTGATACATATATATATATGTGATACAGAGTAGTGTATTGAAACGTGTGCAACCTTGGATTCAAATAGTGACAAATAGTGAAGCGGGAAGGTTGAATTTTGATAGTTTCTGCTACATGTATCTTTTATGCACTTCTGCTGAAACTTAAGGTGTTTTTCAAGATTGAACATGAACTGTCATAAAAATTGCAAATAAACTACATGTAAGCTGCACAGAAACTACATGCAAACTGCGTAGAAACTACATATAAACTGCAAATACACTACATATAGAAGATGTCCGGCATCAGTCGAAAATACTTGATTAAAACAAATGATCTCAAAAATAAGGCTGGGCAGGTTCCATGAGAAACAGTTCATGTGTTGAATCTGTTCACCAAATAAGTATGTCTATTTGATTTATGTTCTGCAACCGTTTCGTGCCTGTCAGAAGTTTACTTCTGAACTTGTATGCACTCTTTTGTGCGAGAAATGGAAACCTCTTCCAACAAGTGTCAAAACTAACCCTTTTTTATGTCTTAAAAACCATATTTCAGGACACTTGTCGAAATTTGTTTTCCAACTACATCTATGTGATTCTTGTTTCACGACTGTTGCATGACTGTCAGAAATTTACTTGTGAGTTGATACGCATGCTTTTGTGAGAGGACTTGAAGCCTATGTCAACAAGTGTCCTAACTAGCCCTTTTTAAAGTTCTGAAAACCATATTTCAGGACACTTGTTGAAATTTGTTCTCCACGTACATCTCCATGATTAATGTTTCACAACGGTTGCGTGACTGTCAAAAGGCTACTTGTGAGCTTATATGCCTTCTTTTGTGAGAGGACTTGAAACCTGTTTCAACAACTGTCCTGCCTACCCCTTTTTTATGTCCTAAAACTGTATTTCAGGACACTTGTTCTTGATTTGTGTTTCACAACCGTTGCACGACTGTCAAACGTGTACTTGTGAGATTATATGCATGCTGTTGTGAAAGGAATTGAACCTCTTTATACGCAGCGCCCTTCTGAAACTACAGAAACCCAGAAAACCTACAAACAGAAAATTGAAAGAAAAAACAACATCTCTTCTTATTAGGGTCCTTTTTGGACCCCTCCACTGGTATTTTTACTTTGACTTTGAGTTTTTACCGGGCTGGAAAGGCCACCAGACCAAAACGGAAAACCTCCGAACTTTAATCATTCGGAGGATTTCCGCTTGCGTTCCGGACCCATTTACCAACTTGGGAAAGACTTCTCCGGGATTCATGATGTAATTTTCCATTTAATTCTCCATTTAATTCATTTAATTCCTGGGCCCCCCAGATTCCAGAAACAGGTTTCCATTTAATCTATGTCATTCATTTAATTCATTTACGTCATTATATTAATTAGATGAATTAAATAGAATTTCCATTTAATTCATCTAAAACATTAAACTAATTCAATGAATTAAATGAATCAAATAGATTTTCCATGTAATTCATTTAATTCATTAAATAAATTAAATGAATTAACAAATTGTCCATTTAATTCATTTAATTCATTATATTAAGTAAATGAATTAAATGAATTGAATGAATTCAAGAGATTTTCCATTTAATTCATTTAATTCATTTAATTCATTTAATTCATTTAATTCCTGGGGTCCCCAGATTCCAGAAACAGTTTTCTATTTAATATATCTAATTAATTCAATTCATTTAGTTCATTAAACTAATTAAATGAATTCAATGAATTTAATGAAATAAAAAGATGTTCCATTTAATTCATTTGACTAATTTAATTCATTTAATCAGTTTAGTGAATAAAATGAAATAAATGAAGTAAACCGATTTTCCATTTAATTCATTCAAGTCATTTAATTCCTGGGGTCCCCAGATTCCAGAAATAGTTTTCCATTTAATTCATTTAATTTCTGGGGCACCCAGATTTGAAACAGTTTTCCATTTAATTCATTTAATTCATTTAATTCATTTAATTTATCAACCTAATTAAATGAATTAAATGAATTAAAAGAACCCGTCTAATTCATTTCAGTCATTAACTTAATCAAATGTATTAAATGAATTAAATGGAACATCTTTTTAATTCATTATATTCATTCAATTCATTTAATTAATTTAATTAATTTAATGAATTACATGAATTAAATGGAAAATCAATTTAATTTATTTAATTCATTTAAGTAGTTTTATGAATTAAATGAATTAAATAAATTAAATGGAAAACTGTTTCTGGAATCTGGGGACCCTAGGAATGAAATGAATTAATTGAATCAAATGGAAAATCTTTTTAATTTATTTAGTCGATTTAATTAATTGAATGAATTGAATGAATTAAATGGAACATCTGTTGAATTCATTTAATTGATTTAATTCATTAAATTAATAAAGTGAATTAAATGAATTAAATGGAACATCTATTTAATTCATTTAATTCATTTAACTAGTTTAATTAGTTCAATGAATTAAATGAATTAAATAAATTAAATGGAACACTGCTTCTGGAATCTGGGGACCCCAGGAATTAAATGAATTAAATGAATTAAACGGAACATATATTTAATTCATTTAATTCATTTACTTCATGTGATTAGTTCAATGAATTAAATGAATTAAACGGAAAATCTATTCGATTCATTTAATTCATATAACTCATTAAACTAATTAAATGACTTAAATGAATCAAATGGAACATCATTTTTTTAATTTAATTCATTTAAGTAGTTTTATGAATTAAATGAATTAAATGAATTAACTAAATTAAATGGAAAACTGTTTCTGGAACCTGGGGACCCCAGGAATTAAATGAATTAAATGAATTAAATGAATTAAATGAATTAAATGAATTAAATGGAAAATCGATTTAATTCATTTAATTCATTGAATTCATGAAACCAATTAACTGAATTAACCAAAATAAATGGAAACCTGTTTCTGGAATCTGGGGGCCCCAGGAATTAATTGAATTAAATGAATTAAATGGAGCATTTATTTAATTCATTTAATTCATTTAATTAGTTTAATGAATTAAATGAATTAAATCGAAAATCTATTAAATTCATTTAATTCATTTAATTAGCTTAATGAACTAAATGAATTAAGTAAATTAAATGGAAAACTGTTTCTGGAAGCTGGGGACCCCAGGAATTTAATGAATTAAATGAATTAACTGGAAAATCTGTTTAATTCGTTCAATTCATTTTATTAATTTCACTAGTTTTATGAATTAAATGAATTAAATGAATTAAATGGAAGTATATTTAATTCATTGAATTCATTCAATTTATTTAACTAATTAAATGAATTAAATGAACTACATGGATTTTTTTTAAAATTCATTTTATTCATTTGATTATTTAAATGAATTAAATGAATATAATGAATCAAATAAACAAAATGGAAAACTGTTTCTGGAATCTGGGGATCCCAGGAATTAAATGAATTAGATGGAAAATCTATTTAATTCATTTAATTCATTTAATTCATCTAATTCATTAAACATATTGAAGGAATTAAATGAATTAAATGGAAAACCCATGTCATTAGAGAAAGGGAACAATTCCCCGTCTGGTAGAGGGTCATCCTCCTCATCGTTGCTCAGCATCCTCATCCCCTGGTCCCGCTGGGCCATTGGTTTCCTGCAAGTATAGGGTCGTCCTCTTCAGTATTTCATCTTCAGGACGTCATGTTCAGCAAACTAACCAACAACTCTTTAAACATAATCATCGGAAACTTGCCGGCTTCCAAATGATCACAATTATTTTCCTACTCCTCCTCGTCATCATCATCATCATCAGCATCAGCATCAGCATCAGCATCAGCATCATCATCGTCATCGTCATCATCATCATCCTCCTCCTCATCCTCATCCTCATCCTCATCCTCATCCTCATCCTCATCCTCATCCTCCATCCCCATCTCCATCCTCATCCTCATCCTCATCCTCATCCTCATCATCATCATCATCCTCATCATTCGCAGCATCCACATCATCATCATCATCATCAACATCATCATCCTCATCATTATCCTTATCATCATCATACATACGTTGCATTGTCTTGAACATCTTTATGCAGATTCAGGCTTCCATTTGGGGGGGGGGTAATTTTTGATAATGCGTTTCTTTTGCTTACAGCACTTGGCGAGAGACGATTAGTGCATTGGGGGTTTTCCCTTGCTGGACCCAATAGATTTTGCAACCCTACAACAGCCCTGCTCATCATCCTCATTTTCATCTTCATTCACATCCTCAGCATCCTGATCATCCTCATCATCCCCATCATCCTCATCATCCTCATCATCCTCTTCGTCTTCATCATCGTCCTCATCAACTCATTCTTGTTATCATTACTTTCGTCTTCATCAGTTTCCTTCATCGTTCTAGTCAGCAACCTCATCAACATCAAACAATTGGCACTGTTTGTGACTTGCAGCAACTCCAAAAAACCGCGTGAGACCGTTGCCGCATTCCGACTTCACCTTGTGAATCCCCCTTCACGATTACCACACTACCCCAGCCCTGCTAGCTTTCGTACCTCCCCCCTGGCCTCAAGTCGGGTACGACTAGCCACGTTCGTGGCAACAAATTCCATCGGAGGTAAAATTGAGTTACACCATTTCAAGAAATGGGAATGGGTCAAAACCTATTATTGCATATTCTTCCCATATTTGGGAGAATAAACATCCATTAACCAGGTCTTTTGTGGTTTCCCCAGGCAATTTGGTGGGTCAGGTTGGTCCCCAAACTGTTCAGAAAAACCAAAGATGAAGTGGTGCGGAGCCACAACTCAACAAGAACGACAAAACTGTGGTTGCAATCATGAATCCTTGACCCCTGGGAGGCTTGAAACCTCCATGATTTTTTCTGGTACACCAAGTCTTTGCTGTTTTCATCCCTATCAGTTGTGAATATATTGTTGGTAAAGACTTTAATTCTTGCTGGTCAACACCCAAATCTAGCAGGTAAAAAAAACCATGAACAAAAACCGGATTCTTACCGCTTTGATCCCAATCTTGTTGGTCAGAAGATTTTTTTCCCCCTGAAAATGGTTGATCATGATTTTCCCAGCTAAAATATACCACGATTCATTGATTGGAAGAGATTCCCTATTTTCAGAGAAGATCACATAGCATATTGTTGATCATATAGTCCGACTATATTCCCACCATATCCCATATCGACCATATCGCCATAAAATGTTTGGTTTTGAATTTCCATTTTTTTTTGGATCCCCCCGAAAATGGTTGGCCGACAGCCAGGCCTTGAGTGCAGGCTCTGTTGGACAGGTGGACCTTTTTACCTTGAAGGAGGTGGCTCGGTGTTTTTTTTGGAAGGGAAGATTTCTATAGGTGCTGACGCCCGGTTCTTTTTTGCGGTAAAATCTTCGGTCGACCACGAGGGTTGCTTCCGCGCAGTTGTTTTCGAGATTTGGTGGACATTTGACCGGGGGCCTCTTTGTATGAAGGGTGGACAACGCACGGAATTCCTGTAGATTTCCGCTGAAACCAATCCGTTGAATGATCCTATGAAGTCTTGAAAATAGGCAAACTTGGAATAGAATCTCAAACTACTTTGCTAGTTTGACCCATGGCCCATGAAGGATTGTCCAAAAATGGAGGGAATACCCAAACAGTATCCAACCATGCAATCAGAACATGGGGAACATGATGACAACGCAATGGAACCATAATATGGTCACATTTCATCCAAGCCGCATTTTGTTGGTCGCAGTACCATGATCTGATCAAACGTGATGATCGTGATGGGTGAAACTAGGCTGTTCTTTCTCAATTGTGCCTTTCCAAACATGTTTTCCGGCACACGACTAAGATGTGGCTTTCGATTCCATGATTTCAAGGCATCAATCTTGCAATGTCGCAGTTGGGATCTTCTCTCCATTCCTGAGGACATCTCAGAGGAATGGAAGACGTCCTTCAAAAAGTTGCTCCCTGCTGGTCATGGCGACACAGTCATTGTGAAAACCGTTTTCGAGGTACCTTGGACCTTGGAACACGGCAGGTCCAAGTGTTGACGGATAGTGACGACTAGTGGGCTGAATGTGAAACCAGGGATGCGGAGAATTCTGGGGGGTCAAAGTTGTTTGGGTCCCTGCAGTTCCCCTATTTCATGGTCTTCTAAAGGAGTGGAATTCTGCAATAAGCTTGGACGTGCCGAAGTTAAAAACCACAAGCCGCCACAATGGCAGAAAGGTACAGAGAGCGCTGCAGCAATAGCGACCACAAGAAAACCCGCCAACGCAGTCACGAGAACAAGAGCAGCAATAGCAGCAACAAGAAACATCACTCAACACAGCCAATACCAAAGCATCATATACTGTAAATGATGAACTGGAATCAAAATCGCCATCAAGGGGTGAGATCAACTCAAGGTTGCAACCATCTCGTAAAGATGAGCATCAGGGATAGGAGCTGTATCAACAGCAGGAATATGAGAAAAGCAAGAACAGTTTGCAGGAGCAATGATACCAAGACGAAGAAAAAAACAAGTAGGAGAGAGAAGAAGGAGAAGGAGGAGAAGAAGAAACCAAACACACGATGCATCCGTGGTGCCGGTAATGCCGTGTGGTAAATCCAAAAAACCACGCAGCATCGACGACTTGCCAGAAATGGCTTGCCCAATGGGAGCCGCAGAAATGGGACCGGGCAGATCAAATCGGGGCGCCAGAGTTGATTCGATGCTAGAGGAACATGTTGTGAAACAGGGCTTCAAGGCTGGTTATATATTTTGCTTCCAAAAGCATTTCGAACTGGGCCAACTAATAGGTACCTCTTAATACCTCTTATATAATTCCATCATACTTAGCTTAAGGAAAACCTACAGGAACATCATGCAGGGTGCAGGAACGATTGGATTCCTGTATATAATTGTTCCCTCATATAATCCGTGGTTGTTTGTCAGATCCTCAGGTTTGTTGGTCAATCCGTTGATGCCATAGCGAACAATTTCCACAGTGAAGAAAAGGACAATCAGTAAAATCCATTTCTACAAATGAATGGCAAATTCGAAACAATCATGGCTTTTGGATGTTTTTTGGGAACACCTGTACTATGAAATGGTTGAGTTTTGTATGGCCAACAGTAACAACTGGACCTTGCTTCGGACAAAAATTCAGGAGACGGAAAGAGCCTATGAGAACGACTGGGCTTTGCTGGAGTTATTTTTTACGAACTGCGGCGACAACTGTGCGACTTGGACGTGTTTGTTTCGGAAAGGTTCAATTTACGACAGAGCCAAGTTACCCTCTGGTAATTTAACATAGCTATTGAAAATGACCATTTATAGTGGATTTACCCATTGAAAATGGTGATTTTCCATAGTTATGTTAGTTTACCAGAGGGTATATAGTGTTACTGTAGCCGAGTACTGGGGGGGTTACATTTTCTGGGCAACTATTCTAGTAGGATTTATGTGTCTATCTTCGGGGTGCTACATACGGTAGTAAGCCAGCAAAGGTCACCAACATCTGCCTGGAAAGATTTTGATGTGTGACCAGTGAATATAGAACAAGTATTCCAAAGTGATCAAAGTTCAGAATTGTTGATCTGGGAAGCTGTTAAAAGGGGACTTGAGTTGTGAATTTGAGGTCATTGTAGTCGGCTGCTGGATCTGGTGAATTTGGCTCCAAAAATGGGAGTGAGTTTCAGACACACCCAATGGTGGCGATGTCAAATCCCACCAGACATGATGATATTTATGGCCTATGGCCTTATTGTTTTATGCTTTGTTTTTGGTCCTGTAGGCCACTGGGTGTTTAATGGTTCAGGCAGAACATAGGGTGGGTTTGACAATCTTGATGAAAGACACGATTGGATGGGTTCAGATCAAAACGCATATGACAAAAAGACAAGCCTTCCATTCGGTCCAACATGGTGCGGGATGTGCAGCCGCCATAGCCGCCATTTGTTGGTTCAATCTCTGACGTGTGCTTTGTTGACCCTTTCACACAGTATTTTCAGTTGGTGAACCCCCCAGTTTTGGTTTCCGGTTCAGTCCCCATTTTCGGTGTGTTGGGCAAGTCTAACTTTTGAAGAGTGAAGCTTCACAGATGAGGACGCGAAAATGCGGGTCATGTGGAAGATCCTGGAACCAATGAAGAAATCCATCTTCGATGAGTCTCTCAGATGGCAGCTTAAGGGGCAGCTGGAAGCCTGAGGACTACAGCCTGAGAAGCTCTGATTCCACCAAGGTTTGACCTCAGGGATGAGGCAACCTTCACTGCCAAGGGGCTGCCTGGCCACTGGGGGATTTGGGGCTACAGGATGGGGCCCCATAGTTAGCTAAGTTGGTTTGTAGCTATAATAACCATAGTGTATGATACTTCTAATTATGTTTAGATGGGATTATAAACCAACTTGTAACTAGGGAGCCCTTCCTATATACCATGGCAATATATTTGGCCAAACATGAGGTTTTGTAGGATTTCTGTCCCGATTTGACTGGCCATTGATAAGGAACATGGTGATAAACCATGGTTGAACAATTTGGGGTAGCTTAGATTCAGACAAAGCCACATTGCGCTATCACAAAAACGGATAAAAACGGTAGGTTTGAAGCAGATGCGGGAGGTTATTGGACAATTTCCTGTTATTTGCCCTATATATCCTTTGTATTTTTTTGCTTGTTTTAGTACCTTATACATTGAACCATGAAACCGACGGGTTCTCAACATCAACCAAGTGATGCCTCAGTTGAACAAGGGCCGTGTCCAACATTCATTTGGGCAATTCTTCTACAACTTCGCAACAACGCAGCGACCACACCACCATCAATGGGCAGTAAGTGAGGCTGCAGCGCCTGGAGGGAAGCCCAAAACAGGTTTACTTCAATATTCGGAATCATTTGGGGATAGGTCATTCCTGGAATACTGTAATACATTTTTTTGGGTCAAAATGCGTGTAACAGCTATTGTCATGTAAATTACCGTGGATTCCATGGGTCTTGAACCATAGCCCATAGCCATTGATTTCCCTCCAAGGAAGGCAATGCTGGCGGAATTCACGGAGGCCATTCAAGAAGGTCAGGGGTGAAAAAGTGAAGGGACAGGGGTCGGAATTGAAGACCCCTCTAAGCTTTGATAGCAATCATCATTTATCAAGTATATCCCCATAATTCCAGGGACCTGCCTAGCAGGGGTCAGCTGATCAAAGGAAGTAACCCTTCAAGAACTTCGAGTTATTTCGAGTTTTCTAGTGATGTACATGGCTTCCCTCAGCGAAAACGGATTAAACAAAGAAGAGGTAGCCCAAAGCTGGGCTGAGAAAAGAGGTAGCTCAGAGAATTTTATTGGGTCAACTTCAGAGGTAGAAGGGCCCAGAGGTAGCCAGGTCGCCCAGTTTGCAAGAGTTCCAGTAGGACGAGGTCAGGTCGACCGCGTTCTCCAGGTGGGCCAGTCATTTTTTTTTGCCAGGTGAATATGAGCCGATGCTCAAACCTGGAGATCTTGTACTCACAACTCCCAATGCTGTGACTTGGCCGTAGCTGGGATGGGTTTGATGCTGGAGGCATCAACTGCACACATGGGTTTCAGCACCCAACGGCTGAGGATTTCATATGTTTTTACATGTTTTTACCATCCAAAATGTCGATGTAAGTAGCAAAACTGAGTACTTAAAGCAGGACAATGTGGATATGACCCACCAAATCTAGAAGTTCCCTGCGCATTTTGCGCTCTCTTGCCCTTCTGCGGTTTGACTCATTTTCGTGAAAATATGTGAACATACATATGTTGGGGTCTCCATACTTTCAAACATTCTTAAACTTTCCGCATGCCAAACGGTCTATTGATGGCAGGGAAGGTGGTACCAAAATCTTGGGGATGAGCTATTGATGGGTGAGATCTGCATTCTGAACCTCAGGGTACCCCACTTCATCCTGCTGCCAGATTGCCACTACCTCCAAGTACTTCTTGATCCAGCATCGACCCCAGAGACGCTACAAAGAGTACCGCATGGAGACGCCAAAACATGATCGGAATTCCAAGATCGACAGCTGAGAAAACCGCAATTCTGCCCTCGCTGTGAACCGATCTTCTTCATGATGTGTCGCCTCAAGAGACATAGAATTTGTGGGTTCCTGACTTTGAGACAATTCGGCCCCATACATTCGAGATCATGAAAAAGGATCAATACCAAACCTGGCCAACAACGGCGGTCTCCAAAGTCTTAATGCTGGCCATTTTCATAGCAACCACATGAAAAGGATAGACACGTAAAATCCAATCCTAATTTTGGTGTACAGTAAATCACTCAAATCTATCATTTTGGTCAAACTGTGTAGGAGTAAACTCGCGAGGTTTTTGGGTTTAGCTCAACTCACATGTGTTTGTTTCAACATGTTTCCCCTCAAATTGAATTTCGGACAATAGGACTCTTTAACAAACACAGATTTTTCAGGGTTTCCGCATCATTTTCAGAGGCACATCGCTTCGAACCTCGGCGATTTTTGAGGTCCATCGCTTCTGGAACTCCCTTGAAGAATTTCTTGGAAGACAGTCGCTGGGCAGATTTTTCGGCTGCAAAAGATGATCGACGAGTAGGTTGTGACCATAGTATGTGATAGACATCGCGCAAACACATACTGTGTATATACTGTATACTGTATACTGTGTATATATATATATATATATAGATAGTATATAATTATAAGTATATTGTAGAGCGATGCCTGTAGGGGTCGGGGGAGGGAGAGAGTGTGGGGGATTTCATCTGAACTTGCGGACATGACATGCTGCGAGCTGCATCTTCGTTGTCGTCAGCGTCATTGTCGTCGTCGTCGTCGTCGTCGTCGTCGTTGTTGTTGTTGTTGTTGCTTCTGGTCCTCCTTCTCGTTCTCGTTCTCGTTCTTGTTCGTGTTGTCGTTGTCGTTGTCGTTGTCCTTGTTGTCGTCCTTGTCGTCATTGTCGTCGTTGTCGTCGTTGTCGTTGTTGTCGTCGTCTTCGTCGTCGTCGGCGGCGTCGTCGTCGTCGTCGTTGTTGTTATTGTTGTTATAGCTGTTGCTGCTTGGTCCTGTTGTCGTTGTCGTTGCTATCTTTGTAGTTATTCTATTCTATCCTATTATATTATATTTTGTTATATTTTATTATACTATACATGTATACATATCATATGACGAGATACATCTCAGGATGCAATGATACATGCACAGTGCACACGTAAGCAATTCATCAATAGCAATTTATCAATAACCTAACCGTTCTGAGGTGGCAGTCAGATCGAGCAATTGGTGGATTGGAAACAGAAAATCTACTCGGCCATCTTGATGCTACATGGCTCATTTGATCGTTGAGAAATTGGGTCACTGCGGGAGATAGACATCTGGGAAAAGACATGGAAGATCCATGAGAGATTTATGGATGATTAAACCGTTGAGAGATCGAGTTATCCTGGGAGAATCTAGGGATAAGGGGAGATCATGGGAGAATTTGTTGTAAAACCTGCTTGAAGTTTGATTTTCACTTTTTTTAAGTTTGGTGTGACGAATGGCAAAAGGATCCAAATCCAAAAACACAGAAAATCCGGCCACGTTGCATTGGCCATCGGTGGCAGGGAGGAAGCTGTGATCGAAGCGATGCGTACTGTATGGAAAACATTTCCCTTTCAAAATGGGGAGCCGTTAGGAGCTACAGATTGAGTTTTCCAAGGCCATGGGACATCTGCAGTCTTTGTCAATGGTGAAATCTAAGGTCTAGGCTGCATTTGGTAAGTTGGAAGACTTTCCTGTGATGGGCGATTCTCAGGGTGGGATGGTAACTGGTCTCATGGATTCTTGTTGACATGCAACATGGGAATACCTTCAGCCTTCAGCCAACCAGTAGAAGCGTATGGGGCACGACCACCGACGGAGCCACTTCTCGGGGTCGCTGCCTTTCCCCGCCTCAGGGTCTATGGGCACATGGTGGTGAAGCATGGTTTCTTTCAGTCAGACCCTCACAATGGCAATTGGTTCCTTGGCAGATGTCAAATCCCGGCTTCACATGCCATTGACCCATACCATACCATACCATCATCCAACTTGAATGAACTTTGGGGGATACTCTACTCGCAGATGATTATACATACATAGACGACACAAACGGATATGGATATGTAATGGTTTGTCTGAAAATAGGGAACGCCGAAATCCGCTGGTTTATCATCATTTTCCTTTTTGAAAACAACCATTTGGGGTATACATAGATCATTTTCGGACAGAACCATATGTTGCTATGTTGCCGTTGATGTTGAAGGAACCATTTGGAGCTATGGACGGTCAATATCCCTTCTGAATAACCATGTAGATCCTCTCAAAATATGGCTGTGTCTGGACATGGTGTATACTCCCCCGGCATTTTACGTGGCAAAGCCAATGTCCTAAGCCATTTCCAAGTCAGCACTATGGCTGGAGACCATCCCAAATGGATCCAGTGTTTCCAGGATACGTCGGTGACATTTGCCTAAGATATTTCCATGTCTTCTCCAGATTTCCCAACTCGGCATCAAAGGGACTTTGCTGTGAGATCGTTGGATGTGACGCAAGCCAAGGTTTTGGGAGCCCAACAGCAAGACCGTGACGCTCATCGATTGGGGCGGCGTGGGCGACTTGGTCGGGGTCTCAGGGGTAGCGTTGGGTGAATCTGCAGCTTTGTCTGAAAAATTAGAGGAAAAGCCTCTGGTTTATGATTCTCCCCATGAAATAGCAACTGTTGAAATATCCAAAAGCAGACAGACCCTCTGGTGAACCTATTCTTGATTAACATCTGAAGTTTTAACAACACACCCAAGATGACTAGGGTTTACTTACCAAGGACGGTGTGAGCCATTTCTTGAGTCAAGAACTCGTGGGTACTTCAGACCTCGCGGCCGAAATGAGGGCCCAGACACGCACTGCAAGCTGGCCAACCTCTATTCCCACTTGGGCAAGCTCACGGAGGCCATGAGTGACCGAAGCCTAGCCGATCTCACTATATGAATGATGACAAGTCATATGTATAAGATATATAAGTATAAGGAAGATTGCCCAGAGCACTTATTTCTGAGTTGGGAATGACCAAAACATGCCGAGGATGGGTTTCTTCTAATCAAAGGTGTTCCAATCTATGAGTATGGAACAGTGATTCCAAAGTGCTTAGCAAATGTGTTGATTTCAGGGGAAAAGGACTGGACTCCATGAGTTGGAACGCCGAGTCACTCGCCTGAATCAATCATGGAAATGGAAACTGACCCCTTAGCAGGCTTAGCAGGTTGCTATTTCCGTTGAAAGGGGCAAAGTTCCACTGAAGTGCTTGTTTATAGAGCCTATTCCCCCGCATCCGTTTTGGCTGTTTCAATCCCATTCTCGGCCCGGGTGTACTATGATAGCCAGGCCTGGAGCGACTGCGAAGCTGTAGAACTCCAAACTGTAGAACTCAAGGGGATACAAGAGGTATCCGGCACCTATCATCGTGCAGGAGATCGTGGCTTCCGATCGGCTTTGATCTGGGTTCCAAAAAGCTATTCAATTGGGAAAGGATGATCATCCGGTGAAATTGGGGATTTTTAATGTTCTTCGTTTTTAAAGTGGTTCAAAATCATCAAAACCATGGAACCCGACATATTTAAAAAGCAATGGTATATGGGGTTGTACCAACAAAGAACAGATTTTTAGGTGGGTCAAACATAAGTAAGATATGACATGGAGTCGGACCAACCAGACCTGGGGTTTCATCGGAAAAGAAATTCATTCCACAGATTCCAGAAGAATTGGCTGAAACAAATCAGGGCTTGACCGACAAGAAATGGTGGTTTGACGAACACACCTTGATATTTGAGCTACCAAGAATTGCGCCTTTCAATCGACAAACACTTGGGGATTTAATCAATCAAGCAACATATACCTCTAACCAACCGAAATCGGCGATCTTTTTTTCTTCTTCTCCGGGCATACTAGGATGATTTTTCATCGGCAAAATCGAAATGGGTCTGAAATTAGGGGTTTCCCATTCCATCTCGTGGTTCACTTGAAAGATGGCCATCCCATTGTACTATTGACATGTGACGATCTCCATCGAAGCCAGTTGCGGGGTCGCCCAAACATTGCAAGGATTCTCGATCTATCAAGCCACTGAGAATCAGACGGCGGGGTGATTTTTTGGCGCGGCCACATGGTACATAGTCATGATCGACCTACACTGCAGCTGATGGTAAACTCAAAGCCTGTGTAAATCAGAATGCCACAAAAAACGCGCACACCTTGGCTATGAATTGCTATAACCATTGGTGTCTAAATCCCCAGTGATGTTTCAGTGATGTTTGCCACCTGCTGCGACAAGTGAAACGACCAGGCGCTGTTTTATGGCCGAACTTATGGGATCTCGTACTTCAACGAAGCGTTGGGTCTCAGGCAAAGACAGCGGTTCACCAGAATCCATGAGCCAATGCATCTACCCTCTGGTTATTTAACATAGCCATGGAAAATCACCATTTTTTATAGGTAAACCATCTATAAATGGGCCATTATCCATGGCTATGTTAAATAACCAGAGGGTACATGTATCATATGCAATCATCATGCATTGGATTGACACTTGCACACATACAAAATCATACAAATACAAACAAGTACACACATGGGGTAGGTATACAGATAGGCAGACACATGGGTAGAGATATACGTACTGTATACACAAATACACTCATGCATGCAACGCATAAATACATAAATTCATAGGTATATTGACACATCGATGAATGGATGGATCGATGATGGATCATCGGTAGATGGGTGGATTTTGTGATCCACCCATCCATCCACCCGTTCATAGATAGATATACAGATAAATAGGTACATAGGTACGTTGGTAGATTGGATGGTTGAATATGTGGATGGATGGATGGATAGAAAGAAAGCGGGAGAGAAATAAGGACACACGCAAAGAGGGAAAGAAACAAATATCTAAAAAAAATGAAACAAGAAAGTCAGAACTCGGTTTGCAGCTGTATTTACTGTATTTTGGATCTGCCACGCGGTCACCCACTCATCTCAGCTGAATTTTGGGTTCAGGCTCTTCTACAATGATGACGGAAAGTGGAACGTGGTGCGAGAACACCCGGGCACCCAGGAGACTTGTCGTTACAGCCGTCCAGACAAATGGGCGATGAAGAATTATGGATGTGCTCGAATATCTTCACATCTACATATACAATATTATAAGATTAAAAGATTATAAGATTATATTATATATACAATTATATATATATATATATACAAACGCATCCCAGTGGGTTACTGGTTCATATTTCCAAGCCATTATCCCACGTAAAATCATATTGAATCTCCTCAAAGCACTGCTTACCCTCTAGTCTTCCAACACTTTGCTATGGCAAAAGAAGCATTTTTTTATAGGTATTTCATTATAAATCAACTAGACATGGACCATTTTCATCCATTTTCCATATTGCCAGAGGTAAAAAAAAGTGTCCATCCATTGTTGGTCACTCTCCTTTTGTGTCTGCCAGGCCCTAACTGAAACCGTGGCCGAGACTTGGCAAGAAGTGCCAGAACTGAGTTGAAGACAACTGTGAAAACAATTGTTCAATGGATTGGTTTAAGGGAAAATTTACAGGAAAGCCCCATATTTAATGGGAAAATCTATGGTTTCCTGTAAATTTTCCCTTAAACCAATCCATTGAATTGTTGTTCACCAGATTTTTTTTGATCTGCCGCTGGCTCAAAATTTCTGGACAACATATAGTATAAATAGGCACTGCAGTGCAGGGTTTCATTCCACTCGAACTTGACTCGAACGATCAATGTCGTTTGCCCAAAAGTCGCGCTATACTCGTAGAGTCAAGGCACCTGGCAATGAACGTCCGAATTTGGGAACATCTTTCCCATGGGAATCCATTTTCCTGGGGGATTGTTCATTGCCAGGTTGACAGGAAAGGGTGGAGTCAAGATTGGGTGCGGAAAAATGGGCTGGTTTGATAGAATGAATAACCGAATTTGTGGTTCCGATTCCTTTAAAATTCGACCTACACACCCGCGCACACACCCGTGTCGAGTCAATCATGGGGGCACAGAAACTTTAACTAACAATACCAGCGAATTGACCAGATTTTATTTGTCCAACAACCAATTGGAAGTTCACTAGGCAGGGTGGGGCTGTCCAGTGATCTAACCTGGCGATTGGAAATCCTCTGAGTATCTATGTGGTTTTCCCGAGAGCGCCTGCGAAGGGTTCTTCGTAAAAAAGCAGCCGTTATACTAGATCTTCACACCTTCACACCTGCAGATCTAGATCTTCACACTCTCACATCTGCCGATCTACATCTTCACACCTTCACATCTGCTGATCTAGATCTTCACACCCTCACATCTGCAGATCTAGATATTCACACCTTCACACCTGCAGATCTAGATCTTCACACCTTCACATCTGCCGATCTACATCTTCACACCTTCACATCTGCTGATCTACATCTTCACACCTTCACACCTGCAGATCTAGATCTTCGCACCTTCACACCTGCAGATCTAGATCTTCACACCTTCACACCTGCATATCTAGATCTTCACACCCTCACATCTGCAGATCTAGATCTTCACACCCTCACATCTGCAGATCTAGATCTTCACACCCTCACATCTGCAGATCTAGATCTTCACACCTTCACACCTGCAGATCTAGATCTTCACACCCTCACATCTGCAGATCTAGATCTTCACACCTCACATCTGCAGATCTACATCTTCACACCCTCACACCTGCAGATCTAGATCTTCACACCTCACACCTGCAGATCTAGATCTTCACACCTTCACATCTGCAGATCTCTTCTCGCTCTTCTTCTATTCTCTCTTAAGGCGGGGGCGGTGCCGCCGGAGCGCCACGAAACGCAACCCTTTCGCACGAAATGGACGTTGGACGTCCAAAACCTAGGTAAAATTGCGATTTTGAAGCGTCGCCGGCAACCCTTTCGCACGAAATGGACGTTGGACGCCAAAAACTGAGGAAAAATTGCAACTTTAATTGGTCGCGCGCAACCCTTTCGCACGAAATGGACGTTGGACGTCAAAAACTGAGGAAAAATTGCAACTTTTATTGGTCGCGCGCAACCCTTTCGCACGAAATGGACGTTGGACGTTAAAAACTGAGGAAAAATTGCGACTTTGAAGCGTCCCGCGCAACCCTTTCGCACGAAATGGACGTTGGACGTCAAAAACTGAGGAAAAATTGCGACTTTGAGTTGTCAATCGCAACCCTTTCGCACGAAATGGACGTTGGACGTCAAAAACTGAGGAAAAATTGCAACTTTGAGGTGTCGCGCGCAACCCTTTCGCACGAAATGGACGTTGGACGTTAAAAACTGAGGAAAAATTGCGACTTTGAAGTGTCCCGCGCAACCCTTACGCACGAAATGGACGTTGGACGTCAAAAACTGAGGAAAAATTGCGACTGTGAGTTGTCAATCGCAACCCTTACGCACGAAATGGACGTTGGACTTCAAAAACTGAGGAAAAATTGCGATTTTACTTGGTCAATCGTAACGCTTTCGTCTGTGTAAAAGTGTCTGTGTGTAAAAGCGTCTGTGTGTAAAAGTGTCTGTGTGTAAAAGTGCCGGGTGTAAAAGCGGTTGTGTGTAAAAGCGTCTGTGTGTAAAAGGGTCTGTGTGTAAAAGCGTCTGTGTGTAAAAGCGTCTGTGTGTAAAATCGTCTGTGTGTAAAAGCGTCTGTGTGTAAAAGCGTCTGTGTGTAAAAGCGCCTGTGTAAAAGCCTCTGTGTGTGAAAATGTTGTGTGTAAAAGTGTCTGTGTGTAAAAGGGTCTATGTGTAAAAGCGTCTGTGTGTAAAAGGGTCTGTGTGTAAAAGCGCCTGTGTGTAAAAGCCTCTGTGTGTGAAAGTGTTGTGTGTAAAAGTGTCTGTGTGTAAAAGCGTCTGTGTGTAAAAGCGTCTGTGTGTAAAAGCTTCTGTGTGTAACAGCGTCTGTGTGTAAAATCGTCTGTGTGTAAAAGCGTCTGTGTGTAAAAGCGTCTGTGTGTAAAAGCGCCTGTGTAAAAGCCTCTGTGTGTGAAAATGTTGTGTGGAAAAGTGTCTGTGTGGAAAAGGGTCTGTGTGTAAAAGCGTCTGTGTGTAAAAGGGTCTGTGTGTAAAAGCGCCTGTGTGTAAAAGCCTCTGTGTGTAAAAGTGTTGTGTGTAAAAGTGTCTGTGTGTAAAAGCGTCTGTGTGTAAAAGCGTCTGTGTGTAAAAGCTTCTGTGTGTAAAAGCGTCTGTGTGTAAAGGAGTCTCTGTGTAAAAGCTTCTGTGTGTAAAAGCGTCTGTGTGTAAAAGCGTCTGTGTGTAAAGGAGTCTGTGTGTAAAAGCTTCTGTGTGTAAAAGCCTCTGTGTGTGAAAGCGTTTGTGTGTAAAAGTGTCTGTGTGTAAAAGCGTCTGTGTGTAAAAGCGTCTGTGTGTAAAAGCGTCTGTGTGTAAAAGCTTCTGTGTGTAAAAGCCTCTGTGTGTAAAAGCGTCTGTGTGTAAAAGCGTCTGTGTGTAAAAGCGTCTGTGTGTAAAAGTGTCTCTGTGTAAAAGTGTCTGTGTGTAAAAGCGTCTGTGTGTAAAAGCCTCTGTGTGTAAAAGCGTCTGTGTGTAAAAGTGTCTGTGTGTAAAAGCGCCTGTGTGTAAAAGCTTCTGTGTGTAAAAGCCTCTGTGTAAAAGCTTCTGTGTATAAAAGCCTCTGTGTGTAAAAGCTTCTGTGTGTAAAAGCATCTGTGTGTGAAAGTGTTGTGTGTAAAAGCGTCTGTGTGTAAAAGGGTCTGTGTGTAAACGGGTCTGTGTGTAAAAGTTTCCGTGTGTAAAAGCCTCTGTGTGTGAAAGTGTGTGTGCGTGTGTAAAACGCATCTGCGTGTAAAAGTGTCTGCGTGTAGAAGCGTCTGTGTGTAAAACCGTCTGTGTGTGTGTAAAAGCTTTTGTGTGTAAAAGTGTCTGTGAGATCTCGAGAATTACATTGTGACAATGTCAGTGTTTGTTGACGATGCAGTGGATCTATGTGATTTATGGCACAAAAAAAATATGTGATCTTTGCATTGAAATGCATGAGCAGTGGACAAAAAAATACTACGGGAATCATTGTACTGTTCAATTTTGTACCGTTCAATTTTGTTTTGTTCTCCAGCATGTCATGGCATTGTTTTGAACTCAAGCGAACAGATATGCATGTCTCGGAATTTTCTGAATGCAACATGTTTGGTTGAAGTCACGCACCCGTGACGTTTGTGGACGTTTTGTGGTCTCTGTTTCATTTGCTGACGGGAATGTCTGTGCGAATGGTGCATGCGACCGCGTCATTCGCGTCGTCCGCTGCCGTGGAAATTTGGTTGCAGAGGCATTGCGAGATGATGCAAGATGGTGTTGCCGAGCTGCTGAGTTTTTTGTTTTTGAGCTTTGTTAAACTTTTTTTTTGTTGATGCGTTCAGCCTTTAGTTTGCAGGTCTCTGCGACAGTGGTTCTTTGCCATGTCAAACTCATGAGTGGTGGTCTCAGTTTGGAAGTCAGCGAACAAATCCTTTGCAGTGGATTGTGCAACTCTGCAGCGACAAGCATAGTTTACCTCTTTACCTCTTTCCTTGGCTCAGATGTGAACGTCGAGACAAGATGCATTGTGTACAGAGTGAACATCCAGATTCTTATATGTACGCTGAATGTTCGTGAAACAAGTGACGATTGGCAAACAGGTATCTTGAACATTTCTTGGACTTCTCGAGGTTTCTGTGGGGGCTGTCCGTGAGATCTCGAGAATTGCATTGTGACAATGTCAGTGTTTGTTTACGATGCAGTGGATCTATGTAAGTATAGCACGAAAAAAATATATGTAATGTTTTCATTGAAATGCATGAGCAGTGGACAAAAAATACTACGGGAATCATTGTACCGTACAATTTTGTGGTCGCTGTTTCATTTGCTGAAGTGGATGTCTGTGCGAATGGAGCATGCGACCGCGTCATCCTCGTCGTCCGATGGCGTGGAAATTCGGTTGCAGGAGCTGCGTAGCAGTGCTGTGACCAGGGGTCGTGAATGGCTCCAGGATGCCCTGGCAAACATTTCAGTCATGGAGCTTCGCAAAATGGCGCATGCTCGAAATGTTGGCCGTGGACCGGACAACAAGAGGCTTGCGGTTGGAGAGCTGCGCGCTCAATTGCTGGATGTCTTGGCACCACGCATGCAGGTCCGGTGGGGCAGAATAGGATTGTGACGAAAGTTGCGTGTTTGTCACATGTTGTAGGATGATGGCGGTTTTGTGGTGGCAGTGTGTCGGATGCTGCAGGTGGAAGAGGCATCGGCTGCCAAATTGGAAGAACTTCGCCTTGGGGCTGTTTCACAGGGCAGGGAGTGGCTCAGTCGTTCTTTGGACGAAATGCGAAAAGAGGAGCTTCGAGTCCTGGCTACTGCGGGTGGTGTGGAGACACGATCCGGCAAGGCTTGGCTGCCTGTAGGAGAGCTGCGCAACTCGTTGATGAAAGTCTTGGAACCCTCCACGGAGGTTGGGTTCAACCACAAAATGT